TGCAATCCTTTCCATATACAGAGAAACTATATAGACAGAAATCGCTGCCAGGGAAACAACTGACTGCGCACAGAAACACAAGGACACACATGAATATGCAAACATACACTGGCAGGGATAATCCTCTTTCAGAGATTACTTACGATAGATATGCCATTTGAACTCTCGCACAACTTCAAACACAAAAACCAGCACACATACATTGTAAATGGGTGGGCAAGCTATCATGTTAATTAAAAACAAACAGCTCTAATGATCAGTCGTTTTATTAAAATATAATTGGAAAGTCGGAAAAGAGGTTAAGAAATATGCATTTTCTTCATCAAGAGAAACTCTTCAGCCTTCATTAACAATTAAGAATGTGCCTATTATTGCACAAACACACTATATTTTCATTCTAATATGGTAAGAAATATGCATGGATTTGGAATCCAAGGCAGCAACCATTGATTATTAATACTCCTCAGGTTTGAGCTGCTTGGTGTCTAAAAGTTTCATGACTGTCACTTCTGACAACAAGATGAGGCTGTTTAGAATCTGACGAGCGATACTGCCCTTAGAGTTGCCTTGATCGAACACAAACACACTTCTGCATTTTAATGCTGCGTCTTAGTTTGTTTCCCATCGCTGAGAGCATCGCCAGCCCACACTTCCCAAGAATGTCAGCGCTTTTACGGATTGTGTTAGGGAATTCTTATAAAAGATTCAGTCTGAAGTCTGTTTGGACTGAGCTAAACTGCACAGAACCACTTAACTTATTTGGAAAGAATTCTCCCTGTCTTCCTCTAAATGTGGCAGAATATTTCCCTCCTTCTGGTTTGGCTGTGTGGAGCGTTGCATCAGAGAGGATTTGGAGAAGCTAAAATAAGCCAAAAAAAACAACAACCACCACCTCCACGAGAGCAGCTAAAACCACTCATAAATGTTGGAAGATCTGCTTCAGCACTGAGGGGAGGGTGGCAGCGGATGAGTTATAATGTACAGTAGCAAAGGGATGGGAGAAGAGAGGGGTGGTGTTAGGCAACAGATATGAGAGAGTGGAGAGAGAGGAGGAATACCTTTGCAAAATAAAGCAAAGGTATTCTTTGGTGCACAAAGACGACCGCATTTTGAAAATGTGACATTATATGAGAGGAGAAAAATAAACACAATTTCTCTCTCTCCAGCTCCGTTCTGCTCTCTCAGTTGTATAACAGTGCTTCTACCTTGGAGCAACATTATCCTCGCAAATCTCCTGCACTACTGTACCTTTACAAATAGCTCCAACCTGTTATGGGAAATTCAAAGCCAGTGTATAGCAAAAGCCTTCTAGATTCCTACTGAGCTGCTGGAGTGAAAGCCTGGCACTCTAAAGCGTTTCCACTACAAAGTCAGACGGCACAGGAAGCTTCAGGATACTATAAAAATCTCTCCTTTTATCCATTTGTGAAGTGGAGTTAATTTTTCCCAGAGATTAAGATTATACTGTAGGATAGAGAGAGTTCTAGAGCACTAGTACTTTTTTATGAGGGCACAGGCCTTCACTTGCTGAAGCACTTTGGATCAGAATGTAAAATAGGGCAATGTCCTGAGTGAGGGAGGTCATGTTCTGTCTGGAAAGGAAACTGAGAAAAAACGGACTATTTCTGCACCAGTGCAAGTCTAAATTCTCTTAATCATGTAATATTATGATTAAAAGAAATATGTAAAAGGAACAAATGAAGTGCTTAGTTAAATTTATCAAGAATGAGGGAAAGTAGTTCACAAATAAGCTAAGAAACCTAAATAGCAATTCTTGCTTGGAAACAACTTTAATTGCTACCATCATCTAAGAAATTCAAGATTTAAAAAAAATGGGGGAATGAGCTTTATTTTGTCCTGCAAAGTTTTTAGATGAGAAACTCTATACCACTTTCACATGATCAGAAGTTGGTAAGATCACTCCCCAGTCACACAGGCCTAAAGAACAGTTAGCAAACCATCTGGCAATGAGAGAAAAACGTGTATTCCACTATTACCTGAGTTGTTTGATGGAGGCTGGTGAAAGTCGCTGTGAAATCAACTGCTAAAGTCCAATTCACCATATCTGGAGACAGGTTAGTGACCCTCTGGAAATCACTAGAGTGTATTCCGCAACTGGTTGGAGACTGGTTTCTAAAGGCTGCCGGCAATCACTGGCATGAAATTGGTTGCACAGAGGTATGTGGTCCTGTGCTGGTAGTAGCAGTAAGTCACAGCGTTCTCAGTTTCTGGTTTGTGTTTTACTAATGGTTAGCAGTTAGTTAGGGTTTGCTTTCAGACAAGTTGATGAGTAAAATACAAAATATGAGTTGCCAAGGCAATCTGATAGTGACAAAAGAAACTGCAAAGTGGATCTGGTGCAGTTTCACCTGGTGACAGCCAGCAACTTTAAGCAACCGGTTGTGGCACACAGTACATTTTTCCTTGGTGACAAGATTTTCCAAGTGGTTGCAAACTCATGAATAGCCAGGCAGGGGAGGAAAACAACTAGCTTAGAAAAAAAATCATGCTCTCTAAAAAATTGGTATTTTTCTTGGATTTGAAAAGAAAAGAGGGGCAAACAAGAAGCAATAACTTAAAAAAAGACCTTTTAAGATATTTGTTGGATGATAATTGTTAGAACAGGAAAATTATAGTTCTAAATTACTGAGTGCCGACTTCTATTTAACTGCTGTAGTTTTAATTATATTGCAAACTCCGAGTGAATAATCTCATTTTAATTTCAAATCTGTTTTTGGCTTTTATCAGTAACAGTTTAAGGCTATTAAAGTTTATCAGTAAAAAATAACTGAAATAAAAGGCCAATTCTGTTTTACAATGATGCTTTTGTTATAAATCAAGCACATTTTTTTTCTTTACAGTTTTAGCTTATGGTAAATGGACTGGTTCTTATATAGCGCTTTTCCACTCTTCTGAGCACTCAAAGCGCTTTACACAACTTGTGCATTCACCCATTCACACCCATTCGCACAAGCACAACTGACATTCACACACATTCATACTCCGATGAATGCATCGGAGAGCAATTTCGGGCTAGCATCTTGCCCAAGGATATTTGGCATGCAGACTAGGGGAAGCCGGGAATCGAACCACCAACCTTCCGATCAGTAGATGACCTGCTCTACCACCTGAGCTACAGCCACCCACTTAAAGAGTTTAAAGTTTTAGAAAAGACAATAAAATACATTTTGAATGAATATACACTGATTATGATTTTGGCTATAGCATTTTATCCTATAGAATAAAGCTCGTTTAGTGTATGTGCTCAATAAACTATACAGTAGACTATATAACAATTTGACATGAGACTACAAATACGTCCATTAATACATTTATCTCAGCATCAGTCAGCCCTTCATTCCATTCTGAAGGACTTCTCATTTATGATTAATTAGGCTAAAGTTCACTTTCTGGTAGTGAATTTCCTGGTTTTCTTCCTCACTGAAAGTCAATTTAGAACCAGTTCAAAAGGAATAAAACTTTATATTATTAATGCTCTTTCTCACTGCGCCATAACAAACTTCATATTTTATCAGTAATGAGATACAGAAGCCCTGAGGAAAGAAAAGCGGCTTTAGAAGAATGATATGACTTTCATATCACTCATACCTTCTGACCTTCATCATGTTGTTTTCTCTTTTTTCAGCTATGTGGTCTGGCAACCAAAGATCTATTTCACTGAGATTTGTCATATTCAGAGCGTTAAATGCCATCTGAACCACTGTGTGTGGTGAGGGGGGGAATGAACCTGAATGCAGATAAAAAATAATATAACAACAAGGGAGTGAGCGAGATTTAGTGTGGCAAAAGGGAGTTGTGCGCTAAAAATTAAATGCTAATAATATGCAGATGATGCAAGAGATGAAATCTGGTGGCAAAACAAAGAGTCCTGTCAGGATGTAGAAAGTGCTGTGTCTGTGTCTGGAGTATAGACAAAGTGGTTTTCTTAATATTACGCTTTGTTGCTGCTTAACACACAAACACATGCCCACACACACATACACTCACACACACTCATGCACAGAGAGAGATAAAGCCTAAGTCGTGCCGATAAGCAATTGGATGGAAAGAAAGTCAGCCACTGTAACGAGACACTGAGGGAATACAGAGCAGTGCCGAGAGACTTGGAGTGAAAGGGAATGAGAAAGATAAAGAGACTCAAGTGGGAGAGGGAAAATTATTGAAGGGAGAGAGAGACAGACAGATGTTAGGTCACACAGAGAAACAACGAGAAGAAGAATGAGTAAAAAAAAAGTTTGAAGTAATAAAAAAAGAAAGAACAGTGAGGAAAACTTGAAACAAAGAGGAAGGATGTAACAGGAGAAATAAACAGAGATAATGAGCAGAAATGACGAAATGACGGTAGTCTGCAGGAAAACAAGGATCTGAAAATGAAATAAAACAAAGGGGATTTCCCTCATGAGATGCACACAAACACACACAGAGAGAAGGGAAAGAGAGACACGGTAACTAGTCTGAGTCTTGTTTTGGTTCAGCTGTGATAGTTCAGGCGGAACATGTTTCAAGTTTGCATGATTTCTCAGATTTGTAGCGGAAATCTCTTCTGCAACCTTCAATCAGACAGCAATGAATCAGATTCTCTGTGCAGTTTCTAAAACGCTTTCTAAATCATGGAAATGAAAAATCAAATCAAAAACCACTTCTCTGAGTCTGTTTCCCTTTCCTCTTTAATTCTCGTTTACATCTTTCTCTACATAAAACTGTACAGTTCTGTGTATTTGACACAACTTTAACATCCTCACTGGCATCAAAGATAATCATTGTTTCTGCTTCCTATTAACGTCGTAGATTGAGAGGCTATTTCACAGACACTTACCATGGGCTGGATAATGATTCTTGCACTTACTTTCTAATTAAAATCATAATCATAATTTACACTTTCCCTCCAGTCCCTTCCGGTTGTACACATAATTGAAATAATAATTCACAAGTGTGTTTTCTCCTTCCTTTGTTTCCTCCCTCCTTCTCTCTTCCCCCAGTCTTCCTCTGTGTCCTCTGCCTCCTAGCTGCATTGCTGCCGCCAACCTGCTCCTGCCCTCCTCCCTGTCTCTGCTCCTCGGACAGCCTGGTGGTGGACTGCAGAGGCCGGGGTCTCTCCTCTCTGCCTCCCTTGCACCTCCTGCCTCCAAGGAGCCGCTCACTCCTGCTAACCAACAATAAACTCGCCTCGCTGGGAGCAGCTGCCTTTGCTAACCTCACTTCTCTGGAGGTTGTGAAATTTTTCTTTGCCTCAAAGCTGAACATGTTGTGGGTTGTTGTTACATTGTTGTTCATCACTGTGTGTGCAGCACAATAAATGATATTGTCTGGCGGATCTTATATTGAGCAAACTGCAGAAAACCTCTGATCTCAGTCTGAAAAGTTAAGAGAAAGTTGACATTTTCAAGGTTTTGCAGGAAAAATTTGCATTTACTGTGGCTGGCAGCAACAAAACAATTGATAGTTTCTGTGCAATGAATACAACCTCATTAGTTACAACACTTGGCTGCTCTTTATTTATGAATGTCTCTTATTTACCATATCAGATAGAAGTAATTGCTTCTGTTTCCTGTCAAGGCTTAATGTACAATGAAACGTTTGCAGTTTTTGATTAATTCAGATTTTCATACCCACCAAAACACCACTAGTTATTTTAAACATAAGTGCCAGATTAAGTTAAAGTTATTTGTAATACTCAAAAAGATCATCAGCTACCACCAGTGTCTAAATTGTGCATAATTTGCATGCGTTTTTTAGGAACTGGACCTCTCTAATAATTACTTGGATAATTTACCAGCCGGATTATTCAGAGACATGTCCAACCTGACAAGATTGACTCTGCGCAACAACTCCTTAACAGTAATGGACAGAGACCTCTTCCAGGTAGGCACTCTAAATTACACAGCACCATACTTCGTAAAGCCTTCAACACTGCTCACTAAATACAGAATAAATGGCATTATTCCAACTACAAATCACATAGGACACTCAAATATTCCCTGCTAAAATGCATGGAAAACCTGTCTTTGTCTTCCGTGTACTGGGTGATATGTATTATCATTACAGTGTACTGAATGTGACTGAAAAAGAAAACAAAGCTGATACCACAAAGCTAAAGCTTAAGCGTCTGGATTTGAACTTCACGGGCTGTGCTTAATCGAGCCAACCTGAGCAGTTATACTTAAAAGATTGGGCCCCTGTCCAGGTGTTAAATTAGTAACAAACCATTTTCCCAGCACTTTCATCCACTAAATCAGAACAGTCAGTAGGATAAGTCTGTGTCATCACTTCACTTGGGAATGTAAATTAAAATCAGTAGCTGCCAGTAGCTACATGGCAAAGATGTGTAAAGCCAGTGGGTTTTATGAAAAAAAGTGCCCAACCATCAAACAAAGGCCTGCTTTTGATGTTTCTACAGGGTCTGAGCGGTCTTCAGAGTCTAGACCTGTCATTGAATGGTCTGTCCACAATTCCTCTCGGCCTACTGGATGAGTTGCAGAGCCTAAGGTAGGTACACACCAGAATACATTCATTTACACTGATTTTAATCGGGTGCTCACTTACAGGACCAAACACTAGAGTAAGATCACGATCCAGAATTATGAACAATGTAATATTCTCTCATGAGTTACAAGGTCAGAGTCGTGGATAATGTTCCAGACGGAGAGCGCAGAGATCTTAGTTAACATAATCAGAAGATTATAAGATTATTGTAATTTCATAGAAGAAGGTGAAAATGTTGGAAACCTTTCTGAAGACACTGTGTCTATGCTGACCAGCTGGCACAGAAACTAAGCAGCACTACTCGTGTTAGTCAGGCCAAGGCAACAATGTTGACATAACCAGTAAGACTGATAGTAGTAGTACCAAACATTTTCAGTAAATAATTCTGTTTTGTTTTTTTCCCCTCAATTTTAAGCGTTACATACCCATACAACACTGATTATTCTGATATAATTCTACTAAACTATTATTATTATTATTACTTTTACTCCAAGGTGGCTGTCCCTAGCGGGTAACAGGCTTCATGGTTTGGAAAGGGCAGCATTTGAGCCGCTGGCCAATCTGCAACACCTGGAACTGGGCCATAACCCCTGGGAATGTGACTGCAACCTCCGCGATTTCAAACACTGGATGGAGTGGCTGCTGTACAGAGGTGGCTGTTTGATTTATGTTACAAGAACTTTTAAAGGCTACGCTTGATTTGAACTGAGGGAAAAGGACAACAGGCTGAATGGGGTCACGAAGGAGTGGGCAGAAACGAGAGGTTATGGGGCTGGGTATTTGTTTCCATTTCTGCAACACTGTGCTTCTGGCTGTATAATATAAGCGCATCAGTGTGATAATGCGCATTAACGCGCTCATTGTGCGCTTCCTTGTACTGTATCCACGTGTCTCTGTGGGCTGTTAGTACATCAGATAACCGCAGCTGCTCTCCGCTCTTTCTCCTCATGTGTAAAAATCTACATTCACCTCAGTGCCTTGGGCCCCAGCTGCCCCGCTAATGAAGCATCTCTTCTCTTTTATGCTCTATTCTCCTCTCTGCATCATTCTGCTCTCTTCTGCTTTGCTGGGCTTAACTCCTGCTAAGTTCAGTACACCTCATAGGACACTGGACATCATAAGATGAGCAGACAAATTGCATGAAGACATTTCATAGCTCAACATGTAATCATGGCAGTAGCAGTCTTGCAGAAAGTAAGACAAAGCTTGAGAGCAGCCTGTGTTGACTACTATATATGCACAGCTGTAATATCTGGAGATATTTGTAGAGAAAGATGTGTTTGTAAAAAAGTCTTCTGTCACAGGCTGAGATAAAAATCTGGGGGCTAAATACTCATTCTGTCTTTCTGTTTTGCATTGCTTTTATCTTATTGTTTCTGTCACTTAACCTGCCCTATCTGAAAATGCAGATCAATGGCTTTCTAGCATGTGACCTTGTTACGAATACTGTGTTTGCAGGGCTGTACCCTCGTGCCACCAGTGGGAATTAGTGACTCAGATATTTCTCCTGTCTACACATGCTACCGCTTTTTGCTGAAGCCAGGCATGTCATCTCATGAATTATACAAGGGTTTAGTTGAGGCTATCTCCAACCTAGCGTTGCGGGCACAGTAAACTTGGTGTCTGTGAAGTGATGTATGACTCATCCCAGTGTTGGCACAGCCACCCCCGACCAAGTCTTTCCTACGTTTTCCGTTAATTGGTAGTGCTTTACCGACATAAGGCGCTTTATAAATGACCTCTCACTGTCCTCTTGTCTCTACACCTCTGTCTCTCTCCATTTAGGGGGGAAGGTGGATGCGGTGGAGTGCACACTACCGAAAGATCTGCGTGGGCGAGACATCCGTGGCGTTCCGGTGGAAATGTTCAACTACTGCCTCCAACTCGAAGATGAGAACGGAGGGGGCGAGGGTTCTCGTTCGGGACAAGGAGGCGGTCCTCCCTGCAGCAGGAACGCTCTCAATCCCAGCGGGTCGACACCAGTTTCTGACAGCAGCGGCAGCACTGCTGATGATTCCTCTTCAAACACTGGAAGTGGAGGAACAGGTGGAGAGGCTCCACAGGACTGCACCCGCTCTCGCTACCGACCTGTAAGCGTGCGGCGTGCCATTGGTACGGTTGTAATTGCCGGCGTGGTGTGTGGCATTGTTTGCATAATGATGGTGGCTGCCGCGGCTTACGGCTGTATCTACGCCTCCCTGATGGCCAAATACCAGAGAGAGCTAAAGAAGAGGCAACCGCTAATGGGGGATGGAGAGGCTGATGGAGAGGACAGGGATGAGAAACAGATCTCCTCTGTTGCCTAAAGGGGTGATGGCATGGGGGTTTGGCACGTCAAAGGCTTAGGGATGAAAAGGGTGAAAATTAAAAGGGCTCAAAGAGATGAGAGATGGAAGAGCTTGTTTTAAACACACAGACGGTTATAGTATCTCTCCCTGTGACTCTCAAACTGACACCTCTCCCACTTTTTGTCTTCCTTTCTTTTTCTATTTTTAACCTCCTCCACTCTGTCGTTTTCTCTAACATACTCCCTCACACACATACCTTATCTGCTCCCAGATTCTCTCTTCCATTTGGACCCGTTCTCACTGCAGTATTCATTCCCAAACATCCCTCCAACTCGCCTACCAGCCACCTACTGCTGTTGAATTTACCAGTATATTGGCTAGGAGAAAAAAAATTGGTTCCTCTCTCTCAGTATGAAACATATCATTTAAGTAGTTACAGAACACTCATGGTGCACGGTGAGCCAGTTTTTGTAAACCTGGGCTGAGATATCAGGGATTCATAATTTGTACGGTATTGACTGGACCAATATGAGAAGAATTTCTTGTATCAGGAAGTAGCCTGCAGTTCTCAGTTTATCTGTAACCTTCTCCTTCTCAGCCTCTCCAAAGCCAGTAAACCCCTCAACAAACCAAGATCTGAGCACAGACCCGTTCACTCTCTTCTGGACTGATCCTCCTCTGATTTCTCCTCAACCTCCAAGACCTCAAGAAAGAAACTGACATTAATGAGGAGAGCTGATAGAAAATTAAGACGATTTGTAGATGGAAATCCGATCTACTACTTTATCAAAGGAAAGATACTGAGGCTAGATCTGATATATGTAACAGAAAACCATTTGGATTTACAGATGAGCATTCATTTATCACATTAGTGGGACTCTGGCCTGTTCGGATCAGACTTCACTTTTGCTCTGGATCTTCTGTGGACTAATTCAAGCCTGGAGGTATTCAAAACTGAAGCTGTCCATGAGATTCTGACTTGGATCTTATCAATCAGCTCAAGGAGGATTAAACCATATGACTGGAATGTTGAATTTGCTGTATTCACCTGCTTCAGAAAAAGCTCCTACTTGTTTGATGCTTAAAATGGTTATGATAAATGTCCGGACAGATCAAAAGAATCAGATCAAATCCATGTTCTGATGCTACTTGGACTATGCTTCTGGATCAAAGAAGATTACACCACAGTTACTGAGATCCAAAGGACCACAGACTTTGCTTTAAAGCACATGCTCTTTGTTCTGAACTCATTTTGAAACTCCTTTCACCTATCAGAGGTGAAAGTTTGCTACTATGGCATAAAAAAAACCTCAGAGAATCCTGGTTTTCTGGCAAGGACTACAAAAATTCATCTATAAACTACAAACTTCAGGCTTGTGCACTTTATTTCCCTAAACAGATTCCCTCTGGCCTCTCTCTTTCTGTCCTGTCCTCCTTCTTTCTTTCTAAGATGGATGAATTGCCTGGAGGGATTATTAAAAAAAGAGGGATTAAACTAAAAAAGCTGCTATTTTTACCCCTCCTCCTTCTCATCCCTTTATCTCGCTATCTTTTTTTTCTCTATCCAGTGCTATTTGAGGAGGTTTTTTTCACACTCCTTAAAGACTCCATCCTTTTGTGCATCCCTTCTCCCATAGTCTTGTCTGTTTGTTTTTCTTGAACAGTCTGCAATATGCAATGGAAGTTGCATGAAAATGTCACTGCCAAAGAGTCCTTGTGTTTAAAAAGAAAACGTAATTATCATTAATTTGAGAGGAATCGCTTGATTAACACTCGTTTCTCAGTGCAGTCACATAAACGGTTTGATTGTTTGCTCTTTACGTAGTGTTTTCATGAGTATCCCTATCTATGGCCTGGTAAACGTTATTATTTTACAGTTAGCAGAGTACAATAACTAACTTAAGTTCCCCCCATACTAAAACTATCGTTCCCTCTCAATTTGTGATTGGCTGCGAATAAACTTATATTAATAGTGTGTTATCTTATATCTGGGTATGATGCAGATACATATGATTATACTAGTCTTCTATGGTGTGTTGGCCCAACAATCCAGAATCGTTTAAAGTAGCCGTTTACGGTTTTTCTGTATCAATTCATGATGTATGTGTTTTATTGTGTTAATGGCTTCTATGTTCTGTTTTAGATTTAAATATCTGTGTAACATTTCTTTGTTGTTTCCATTTATTTGTGTTGACTAGCTGGTAAGGTTTCTGAAAGAAGCATAGAAAGAGTTTACCAGTTTATGCCTAATGTTAATCTGGTTGGGATCATTTGGCATAGAGCTCTAACATGTATTTTTTTTTTTAAATTTAATAGCAGTGGCTTTATCTCCTACAAATATTTTTTCATAATGCGACTTAATCCCTGTTTGTACAGGATTAGTATTTCCAGGAGGACCAAATTATATCCCTGCGTGTGTATTTCATGCACACAAGTAATGTCTGTGTTTCATTTAAATATACTGACATAAACTCTGGATATGATGGCAAATGTTGATTGGAAAGTACTTGTACTATAAATAATAACACCTACCTTTTGACAGGTATCTACATGTTCCTTAAATGCTCCAAAATTTTCATTTAGAATTGCCAATGCATCTTCTGTAATCTTAAACTGGAATGAGGCAAAAAAGGTGTTTAATTTTCCTAATTAAGTGATTTCCATGATGAGGCTAATATTATCACAGGAATTCTGTAGGTAGGTAAAGTAGGCATCGAGGATTGGACTTTTTACTTCACAAAGTATGGCAGAGTTGTTGTTATGATGAACGACTGGAAGCCCTTGGGTAATATTTCAATCATGTGCAAACAGAGTTATTTTAAAATAAGAAACAGTATTTGCATTTATGAAGATACTTTCTGTCTATATTGCAATTACAAAGATGTCAAAATCTGTATCTACAAGCTTATTTTTAATGGATTGTTTTTACAATATAATAACTATGTTCAATGTGTATTTAAGTTACAATGAGAACAATTTGGAAAAGGTCAGAAAAAGTAAGTCTAGCTCTTCTGGATGCAAGAGAGCTGACTGATGACCAGAAAGAGCATCTCATCATAGAGTTCAAAACACCTTGGGTGTACATTATAACTTAAAATTTGTCAAAATTTAATAACAATGGCTGCTTCACTAACCTGAAAAGATGCAGAAAGCGCTCAAGCAAAAGCAATTTCCAAATTAGCTTCACATTGGACGTCTTCGTGGATGCACATGCTGACATTAAATACTGTGTGATATAACCTTGAATTTTAGAGACTCTGAGGTAGCGCCGTAACGAAAGCAAAAGCTAAACTCTGTCTTTGAATCCAGAAACACTGTCCTCTCACCCCCTGGTCTGCAGGTCTTGTGTTGTTTGTAGCTAAGTATCTTAGCTAGCTTGATCCTGTTCCTATAGTCTGTGTGCATAAAGAACAATAAATTCTAGTTTGTTACGTAAAAACTGCAGCAGCCATGATGACCAAGGGCCTCTGAGACTACACTGCTCAGAAATCTACATGTGTTGTGTTGTTATGATGATTGTGATTATGACAACGATGCTATGAAGATGGTGATGAAGCATTTCCTAGTTAATATGCATTGTTTTAAATAAAAACATATCACACCTATGTCATATTTGCATTCAGACTAAATATAAGGTTTAAAAGAATATAAGGACTATTTATTTAATAAATATAATTTGGATTAAAGAGCACATCAGCAGATATAGGTGGAATAAGTATACAATGTCAAAAACACATTAATTAGCCTATACCTTCATATATATATATATATATATAAGATATATATGTTTCAGCTTGCAGGGGTCTTTAACCTGTCTCTTGCCCAGTCAGTAGTACCAGCGTGCTTCAAGAACACCTCCACTGTGCCAGTGCCGAAACAATCAACGTGCCTGAACGACTATTGCCCTGTAGCACTCACACCCATAGTTATGAAGTCCCTTGAGCGACTGGTCCTGGCACACCTCAAGACATGCTTTCCCCATACACTGGATCCTCACCAATTTGCCTATCGAAGCAATAGGAGTACAGAGGATGCTGTATCCACAGCACTACACTGTGCACTCTCACACCTGGACAACAAGAATACTTGTGCAAGAATCCTGTTTGTTGACTTCAGCTCAGCATTCAGTACAGTTATTCCCGCCAAGCTGATCACTAAACTTGTGGAAATTGGAATCAGCAACTCTATGTATAATTGGATCATGGACTTTCTGACCAACAGAACCCAGCATGTTAGGTCATGCCATGACTGCTCTACCAACATCACACTCAACACTGGCACTCCACAGCGCTGTGTGCTGAGCCTGTTCCTCTACTGCCTTTTCACCCATGACTGCAGACCTAGGTATGGATCCAACTCCATCATCAAGATTGTGGATGACACGACAGTGATTGGTCTCATCAGTGACAACGATGACTTTAACTACAGGGAAGAGGTAAAGGACCTAGCTGTATGGTGTGCTGACAATAACCTGCTCCTGAATACCAGAAAAACCAAGGAGCTCATTGTGAACTTCAGGAAGGAGAAGAGAGACACCCATGTCCTCATCTACATAAATGGCACAGCTGTTGAATGGGTTTTCAGCTTCAAGTTCCTGGGGACATCTCCATCTCCAGCCTGGTCAAGAAGGCCCATCAGCGCCTCTTTTTCGTGAGGACACTGAAGAAGAATCACCTGTCTGCTGACTTACTGGGTAACTTCTACTGCTGTGCAATAGATAGCATCCTGACCAACTGCGTCACAGTCTGGTATGGGAATTGCTCTGTTGCTGACCACAAGGCACTGCAGCAGGTGGTGAAAACCACCCAACGCATCACAGGGACTCCACGTCCTGCCATTGAGGATGTCCACAAGCAGAGGTGTCTATGCTGGGCATGCATCATTCCCAGGGACTATATCTTCCCAATAAACTCTTCTAGTTCCTCCCCTCCAGAAGGCTCTATAATAAGCAGGTTTAATACCAGCTTCTTCCCCACAGCTGTCACCCTACTAAACTCAGTCCCCTGCTGAAACTTTCCATTCACAGTCACTTAACCATCTACACTCCCCCTCATCCCTCCCAATGACCATGAACATTCACTGTATGCTCACATTACAATACGTACTTACACTGTTCACTGTTCACTGTTCAAGAGTGCTACTCTTCCACTACTGTAGCTATATTCATAGCACTCTGTAGATTACTACACATCGGTACCTCTGTATATTTGTTCATAGTACATCTGTATATCTGCCCCTCTGTATAGCAATATAGAACATCTGTATACAGTTCCCTCTCCGTAAATCGCTACCTTATCGTGGTGGAGGGGTTTGTGTGTCCCAGGGATCCCAGGGGCTATGTTGTCCGGGGGCTTTTGCCCCCTGGTAGGGTCTCCCATGGCAAATTGGTCCTGGGTGAGGGACCACAAAAAGAGCGATTCAGAAGACCGTTATGTGGAAAACATTGAGGGAACAGTTTACCCTGCCCGGGATAGGGTTACCGGGGCCCCGCCCTAGATCCAGGCCCGGGGACAGTGGCCGAGGGTGAGCGTCTGGTGGCTGGGCCTTAGTCCATGGGGCCCGGCCGGGCACAGCCCGAAAAAGGGGATATTGGCCCATCCTCCCGCAGGCCCACCACCCACAGGAGGCGCCATAGCAGTCGGGTGCAATGTGTGCCGGGCGGCGGCCAGGAGCGGAGGCCCTGGCGGACTGATCCCCGGCTACCAAGACTGGCAATTGGGACATGGAATATCACCTCTCTGGTGGGGAAGGAGCCTGAGTTAGTGCGTGAGGTTGAGAGGTACTGGCTAGATATAGTCCGGCTCACCTATACGCATGGCTTGGGCTCTGTAACCAGTCTTTTGGAGAGGTGCTGGACTCTGTCTCAGTCTGGAGTTGCCCCTGGTGAGAGGCGGTGGGCTGGGGTGGGTATTCTAATATCCCCTCGGCTTGCTGCCTGTATGTTGGGGTTCTTCCCGGTGGATGACAGGGTTTGTTCCCTGCGCCTTAGGGTCGGGGAACGGGTCCTGACTGTCATCTGCGCTTATGCGCCGAGTGGCAGTTCAGAGTACCCAGCCTTCTTAGAGTTCCTGGGTGGGGTGCTGGAAGGTGCTCCACCTGGAGACTCTGTTGTCCTACTGGGAGACCTCAGTGCTCACGTGGGTAACGACAGCGAGACCTGGAGGGGTGTGATTGGCAGGAACGGCCTCCCTGATCTGAACCCGAGCGGTGTTTTGTTATTGGACTTCTGTGCAAATCACAGTTTGGCCATAACAAACACTCTATTGTTCGAACATAAGAGTGTCCATAAGTGCACATGGCACCAGGACGCTCTAGGCCACAGGTCGATGATCGATTTTGTAATTGTATCACCAGACCTGCGACCATAAGTTCTGGACACTCGGGTAAAGAGAGGGGCTGAGCTATCAACTGATCACCACCTGGTGGTGAGCTGGATCAGGTGGCAGGGGAGGCGCTGGACAGACCCGGTGCATCTAAATGCATAGTGAGGGTGTGCTGGGAACGCCTAGCAGAGGCCCCAG